AAAGGATGGCCATATCCGGCGGACGTTCGCCATAGGAAATGGCATCTGTGAACGTTCATCACGCAGTTTTCAACGCATTCGGAGAACCTGGATGGCTTTTTTTTTTGGTTGCAAAACTGACATGGCATTTGTTTAACTTTGCGTGTTAAAAATCATCCAAAACTGCACCGATCAAGATCGTGTGGCAACTAGGGCGTGTTCGCTGGCAGTTTCCCCTTGACGAATGTTCGCCCATTACTATTTCCGTAAGTAAAACCTGTGCGATAGCGGAATTGCTAATGCCGCCCACCCAATTTTTAAAATAATGCAATAATTGAAATTCACGCTTTTTATGTTCTAAAAAACAATAAGTATATGATGATGTATACTACATTTAGTAAAGTTTCATAATGAAATACGTTTTAATGTGAGCTACACGCAAAAAAATCATGTATTTCTGACACATCCACTAATTCATCATATATGATTTTACCTTTTTTTAAATCAGATGAAAACGCATTTCATCATAAAAAATTACTGCAATGTGGTAAACATCAACATGCCATATTTTTTCTCTAAACAAAACTTTAAAAAAGTGACATTTGATTATTAATTTGGAATTTTTGGGCTTCATGGAGCCTGGGAGCCAAAATCCTCAATAGTGTGACAACAACAAAATTAATGTTAGTACAATTTCTCTTACTATATGTCTCTTTATTTTCCGTTATACTTGTGGAGGTGTCCCAAGTGTTTTTATTTTCCTCTGCTCCGGCGACCTAGGCAAGGCGGTGGATAATCTATCGCTTTCCCCATGACACCATGCCCCCTCCCCCTCTCCCTCTATTTGCCGCTCCGACATGTAGAGTGGCGGGGACCTAGTGCTTTTCGACCGGTGGTGCTACGATTACGCACTTTTGGGTTTTATCTTCAAGCTGCGTTGGCAAGACGTTGGCGACGACGTGGAATAAGGTCCCTGCCCCACCTTGGTTTGGTTGGTACCATTCTAATCAGCGAAGGCGTGTGGAGTATGGCATGTCCCAAGATTTGGTTCTCCGGCTCTAGCATTTTCTTCTGCAAGCTTGTCTCAGTTGTATTGACACTCCCAAGGACTTAGATATATTTTTCAATTTATATAAGAGTGTGTTTGTAAGGGCATCTGCTCCTAACAACCATACTTGGATTCAAATCAAATTATGTTCGGAGTCAAATATCTCTTACAATCAAATTACTTGGATAGTGGAGTGAAAGTTGTGTCGGTTTGTATCCCTTGTAAGACATCAGAAGCTTGGAAAAACCTAGCCGCCGCCTCCACCATAGATAGGTTCCCCCTCCTCCGGTCCACCTCGCTGGAGTTGGGAGGGGTGGGGAACCCGATCTATGAGTGGAGTTCTTCGTAATAGTAGTGTTTTCATTAGATTGGTTTAGGGTTTTGGTAGTCTTCTTCTTCTTTGAAGATGGAACTATCTACAATAAGTAATCGTTGCCCTTCGTTCGACGACGAGATCTCCTTCCCGACGTCAATGCTGGTGTCGAAACATTAAATTTTTCTTGGTATGGTCCTTCAGATCTTGCTTCACCAGATCGGTTTTGGATTTCTTCTCATGGTTGCCGCGAGGATGGTTGTCCTCGCAATATCTGCCTCGGCCGCTACATCCTCGATAATGGTGATTCGTACTCTCGTCTCCCATCGATGTCGACATGGCTGTTCTGTTTTTGTCCCTGAAATACCGGTGTTGATGCTCTTGCCGATGTTGGTTGATTACTTTAATGATTGCGTGCATGCATCCAGCCTTGGCATTGCGGTTCAAATTATAACCGAGAACCCTCGTCGGTATTTACAGGCATCCCAACCTTGGCATTGTTTGATACCTTTATTATTTTTCTGTGGCTACCTTCAGAAAAGTAAACCTTGTGGCATGGAAGAAGAAAGAGTTTGAAGATCTCGAAGATTTGCTTGTTTCTTTTAGACTTTATTTTGTAATCATTGTAGTCAGCTCATGTATCTCTGTCATGTACAATTCGCTACTACTCCCTTCGTTCTCAAATATTTGTCTTTCTAGAGATTTCAACAAGTGACTACATATGAAGCAAAATGAACGAATCTACACTCTAAAATATGTCTACATACATCTGTATATTGTGTCCATTTGAAATGCCTAGAAAGACAAGTATTTGGGAACGGAGGGAGTATAAATATATCATGGTATGTCAAAAGAAATTACGGTTCTGATAGAAAATCATCCTAATCAATTTGTTTTGACCCGAACATCCTACTCCCTCCTTCCATCTATATAGGGACTAATACGTTTTTTAAGACTGCCTTTGACTATTGATAAGATTAATAGTACATGACATGCACAATGTGAAAATTATATCACTGAAAGCTCCTTTCACACACGAATTTAACGGTGTGCTTTGTGTAAGTTGCATGTCATATATTATTGGTCTAATATTTGGTTAAAGTTAGCCTCGAAAAACGCATTAGGCCCTATATAGATGGAAGGAGAGAGTAATCAATTTCATCCTCACAACCATGTTTCATGAAAAAACATGTTTAATGAAGGTTAATGAAACTCCAGAAAGAAAAATAATGTTGCTGGCATGTGGGACCGTGGCCAATTAGGGTCCGCTGCGGCCACTGCGATAGATGCCGATAAGGCTCTAGTTAAGATACTGTACGTGGCATGTGCTGGTGGTGGGGATCAGAATAATCAGCTGGCCTGTCTGGTCGGTGGATGATTTGCTGCCCGATGAGATGAGATGAGACGATAATCATTCATTCCGTTTGCCAAGGAAAAAGATGATCATTCTCAACTCGAGGCGACGGTATGGATATGTAATAAGTGTGAGTGAGGCAGCCGGCAGCCTGTCAAAGTCCCTCTTCTGACAAATCGTGTAGTCAAATGCCGGCAACATGCGCCTGCAGCTCAGCTCATGAACGAGAGACCCTAGAGCGTGCACGTGCATCCACCTTGCTTTCGAGGTACGTCGTCGCTCGATCCAAAGCGCGGGATGAGATGAGATCGTACCCGGGTTGCTCGGCTCCCCTGGAATTACTTGGATAGATGCACATCCTCTCCGGCGAGTACTTGTTGCTGTGCCAAGATATAAATCTTGTGGCATCTGTACTATTTTGTGCCAGAAAAACCCAAATATTCAGGTGAGCCGGACGAGCAGGGGATCTGGAACAGCTGCGTGAGTAGGAGCATCTATAGGCAGGCGTTTCAAACCCGTCTTATACGTCTGGGAAGGTCGTCCGGTCATTGACTGGTCATGATTTTTCGACCCGGACGGGCTCCATAAACGGGTCTCAAATGTTCGAGCTGACAAGCACCCCTCATATCCAGCTCCTAAATATGAGACATCCGGGCGCGACCTAGCACGCCCGTCACGTCGGACCCGACAGCCTGACTTCACCGCAAATTGCACCGAATCCATCAAACCCTTCTTCCTCCTCCTCCTCCCACCGCCCTCCAACCTTTCCCGCACCCGGACCCTCGCCATCCTCCACGCTTGCTCCCAATCCTCATCACCGGCCCTGATCCACCGTCGAAGATGTCGTCCAGCCCGGCCCAGACCGCCGCGACAGAGACGCAGTCCGCCTTGTTCGTCAGCTGCGACTTGCAAGGCGGAGAACGTCGCCCGAAAGTTGCGGTGACGCAGACAGCAAGAGAGGGAGACGGCGACAGCGTCACAAGGAGGTACGGACATGGTGGATCAGTTGTCTCCTCCGTCGCGACGAAACCCTCTTGGATGAGCATGCGAAGAAGTGATTTGCGAACAAGAAGAAAGAGATCAACGACCGTAGAGAGTACGAGGCGGCGAGGGCGGCTACGACACGGATGCAAGCGAAGAAGGCAACCCGGATGCAGGCAGAGCAGGACGAGCATGACACATTCCGTCTGGAGCACGACGCATTCTGCTCGGAGCAGGCGCCCGGCCGGTGGTCCGAGGCCACTAATCATGTTCGGACATTGATTTTATTTTGGCATGTCTGGTTTGTTGAACTATGATTTGCTTTACTTTGTTTCAAATTTTGAAATTTAGGCAATTTGTATCATATGATCGACGTGCATGGATTGCATGAATTTAAAAATTAAAATATAAGGTATATGAATCTAGGGAACAATATTTGAAAGATGTCCGGTCAATGCCTGTGGACGCGTTCGTGGACATTTGAGGGGCTGAATTTGCCGAGCCCGGCGGTGGTGTTCTAGGATAAGAAAAGGAGAGCGCCATCCAAACCACAACTACCCCGTCATGTCGATCCCAGTCCAGGATCTCTGTATTAGATAGAATAGATCCCAGTCGAGTGATGATCAGGAGTCTACCGCGGCGTGCGTAGGCTGGTGGCGGCGTCTCGGGGACGGCAGGGCACGGACGATTGGACGGACGAGTGGTCGACGGCTCCCGCCCGCGCGCGTCGGTTGGGTGGGCGACGGACGGCGACAGGTGGTTGCCGCGTCTCCATCGGCCGGGAACCGGACACCGCGGCACTGTGCCGTGATCTGGGCACGGCCCGACTTGCCTCCGTGCGCCGGAACTTTCCTCGCCGTCTCGCTGGCGCCGCTGGCCACGCACGTACGCACGCACGCCGGG